TCCTGCGCGTATGTTCTCGTGAAGCGTGCCAAGGATGGAAAGTAACTATTTAAAATTGGAAGCCTCCGTAGCCCCATCAAATTGCTCCCCACATAAAGCCATAATTAAGTGTCTCCAAAAATGCACCACTGTGAAATAGAGCCCTGATCCAGGGACTTAAGTGGCTGTACTTTTCCTCTCAGCCGTCGAAAGAATGCAGGACGAGAAAGCAGCAGAGAAAAACACTCATGTAGCGAGTTACATAATCCCAGGGCTGTATGAATCTGAATTGGAGTCATTTGGATATCATTAAAGCCCTGGAGCTCAGTGTCTCTTGGTGTTTACATTACCAGTCAACAATGGTTTCTTTGTCCCGTGTCATCACTTATAATTGTGAGTGGGGGGGGGGGCGGATTTTTTTTTTGGCATGACTGCGTTGAAACCGTTTCTGATGAGCTACCCGCGCTGGATTACGCTGTCAGCTCGGCGCATCACGGCATCAGCAGATAAGGGTTCGGTTACGTTCGGCTTATCACATCATCAGCGCTTGAGCTGGTTCCAATCCAGCACGAGTGTCTGGTGACAAACAGCTCAGAATAGTGCGCGGTAATCCCGGGTTCTTGCTCGGTGGACCCCTCATCTTTGTAGCACATCATAGCCAGCTGTGTGGGCTCGGCTTGGCTCATTAGGAGATCAAACGAGACGCCCCCGAAAAGAAGTGGGCAGAGCTGTCGAGGCACAGCGAGCCGCTCCAATCACGTGCCTTCGCTCAACGCTGATATTGCTGGCAGATGGCGGCCATAGTGTACCGGCAAAGTGGATTCAGATGTGATAAATGCTCTTTGATATCTCGTTGTGTTTATGATTTAACGCGCCTCTCTGTTTGGACATGTCGACAGCTGCTTTATTCCTCTTATTAAGTTTTATTTGCTTCATCGTTTTATCGATAGTCACGAATCTCGAACTGTTAACTTTGGCATCCATCTGCGAGGCGTTATTAACATGAATCATTTTTCATCAACATTGATTTTATTTCCCAAACAAATCAGTGATTGGGTCTTGAGCAAAAATCAGGAAAGCTGTTGGAATAATAGGGTGATTGTGAATTCAATAGCATCTACTTTGATTTACCTTTTTTTTTAATGATTTGAAAATTGATCTTTAATAACGTTGGCCAATCTTGAACACATTTTCGGTGCTCGGGGCAAACGGAGAGGCGGTGTAATTCAATCGCAACTTGTATAACTCAAACTATTTTTTTCTCTCTCTCTTAACGACGTGCCAGATGCATGTCAGTGCTTCCTGAAGCTTTTTCTATCCCTCCCACATACAAGAGACTCGCAACTTACCCAAGAAACCATCGCCACCCCCACTCATGCCACCCTGCAAGACATTCATATGAGCAATACTGAGATATACTTTAGCGTGCTGTAGTTATGAATCTGTATTCCTCAACAAGCAATCAGTACACTCTAAACAATGCTGGGTTGTTTTTTGGGTAAAATATTGGGTAAAATATGGACAAACCCAAATGTTGGGTTAAAAATGTCTTTTTAAATTCTAACCCAACTTTCACTTTCAACTGTACATTTTTTAAATGAGTTACTCACCCCCATGTCATCCAAGATGTCCATGTCTTTCTTTCTTCAGTTGAAAAGAAATTAAGGTTTTTGATTTAAACATTCCAGGATTTTTCTCCATATAATGGACTTCAATGGGAACCAAACGGTTCAAGGTCCAAAAGACAGTTTCAGTGCAAACTGCAAACTGTTCGAAGGGCTTTAAATGATTCCAGACGATGAATAAGGGTCTTATCAAGCGAAACGATCGCTCATTTAATAAATAAATTAAAAAGTTTAAGTTTTATAAGCTCAGATGCTCGCCTTGCTCTGTTCTGTGATGAGCGTTCATGACTCTCCTGTTCATCAAAATGAACAAATCTTTTTCTGAGTCAAAACGTTTGTTTCGTTCGATAAATGAACCAAACGACTCGGAAAAAGATTTGCTTTGTTATAAACTTTGTTATTTATTAAATGAGCGATGGTTGCGCTTGATAAGACCCTTATTCATAGTCTGGAATCGTTTAAAGCCCTTTGAACAGTTTGAAACTGTCTTTTGGACCTTGAACCGTTTGGTTCCCATTGAACTGCATTATATGGAGAAAATCCTGGAATGTTTTAATCAAAAACCTTAATTTCTTTTCGACTGAAGAAAGAAAGACATGGACATCTTGGATGACATGGGGGCGAGTAAATTATCGGCAAACGTTTTTTTCAAAAGTGAACCAACATTTGGGTTTGTCCATATTTGACCCAAATTTGGGTTGAAATATTTTTTTAGAGTGTATCATCACTTTTTATTTTGTTAGTTTCGCAGTTGCTTTCGTTTGGTTTGTTGTTTTTTCATGACAAAATGGCAATATCTGAAGGTCTCAATGTATTGTAAATGTCTTGCTTGTTCTTCATGTTCTTTCAGGTTTTTTCTTCTCTGCTCTTCAGGAACATGTTTAAGGAATATGGTTTTCCCTTCGACTGAAATATTAGGTTAAACTACTTTAACTACTACTACTGAGCTACTTTAGCCTGTTTTCTAGCTGTAGTTATAAATTGGGTTGTTTTAACTGGGTTGTTTTAACCCAAATTGGGTAAAATATGGACAAACCCAAATGTTGGTTTAAAAATGTAATTTAAAATTTTAACCCAACTTCAACTTTCACTTTCAACTGTACATTTTTTAATCACATTTTTAACCCAACATTTGGGTTTGTCCATATTTTAACCAATTTTGGGTTGAAATAATTTTTTTAGAGTGTATCATCACTTTTTATTTTATTAGTTTCGCAGTTGCTTTCGTTTGGTTTGTTGTTTTTTCATGACAAAATGGCTCAATGTCAGCTGTAGGATACCATATTGTAAATGTCTTGCTTGTTCTTCATGTTCTTTCACGTTTTTTCTTCTCTGCTCTTCAGGAACATGTTTAAGGCATATGGTTTTCCCTTCGACTGAAATATTAGGTTAAACGTTAAAGCTGAAGGAGGTACCAAGACAAACATTTGGGAAATTGTTTGATTGACTGCTGTCACTGATTTAGCCAGATTGATTTCTCTCGCACATTTCCTCCGAGATGAATTAGACGCTTTGTTTAGATCCTATTTTGTTTATTGGCTGTGTCTGTGTTCCCATCAAAATTATGGAGCTATTATTCCAATGCATTTTTAAATGTGTGAAACATATTGGAGCACTTATGACTCGGGTTAATCACAATCCGTGAGCCTGTTGAGTCAGAGGGAGAGATTGCCATCTACAGTATCACTGTGAGATGGAGAGTTAGAGTTATTAGATGACAGATTTTACATGGAAGGCTGTCTATGGATCCTCAGTTCAGAGTCAAAAGAAGGTTTGCTCGTCTGTTTAGTCTCTGCTTTATGGGGTAGAAGTGCGTGTGGAAAGTGTATAATATGATTGTGTAAATATTCTGTCATTATGGCTCACTAAGACTCAGCATGTTGCTCTGTGAGTCACACTTTCTTAGAAAAAGATATGAGAAGCTTTCAGGTAACTCCACTTCATGTTGCAGCTAACCCTAAACCAAACCTAATCCCAACCTTACATTATGTAGTTAATTAATATTATTTAAATGTTTAATTACACCAAGGACACTTTAAAATAAAGTCGAACTTTTTCTTTAATTAAAGTGTTGTTGTTTTTTTGATTGGATAATAGATGTCACATGTATTTTCAAATGTTAATATTAGTGTTTGTCAGCTAAAACAATAATTAAATATTTTATGTCCATTTTAAACTGTTAAATTTTGCTAGAATATTAATGTCAGTTTCTGTTGTGACAATATAGTTATTAGGGCATGTTGACACAAAAGGTCAATGTGTTTTTCCTGGTCTATATATATATATATTTTTTAAATTGTAGTCAATAATCGACTTTATGTAGAAATGTCCACTTTATTAAGACACGTGGGATAAGTACTTTCTGAATTCTAACCATAATGTCAAATTGCCCTTTTTTCGGTGTCTAAAAAAACACAATATACTCCATATTGTGAGGTTCTTCTTGTAATCACCATGACGTGGTTTAATTAATTTATGCATGTGAATTCCATTGCCATTTTGCATATAGAAAAATGACCGAGCATAATTTAATAATGTCCTTTCTGCGACTGGTTTCAAGGAAAACATAAAAATGATACATGATATTTTCATAATGCAGTAATTGAATCAGGACCCACAGAGACAATTTGCATTCAGATAAAAATGATAATAGAATAATGCAGTTTTAAACTCTTACAGTCACAGGCAGAGTTATAGACCAAAGATCTCATGATCAGTGTAGAGTTGATTTGACTTGAAATTTTACGATGTGACGTGTTTGATTGGCATCACTTTAATGATTGCATGATGCTGGAACTATATGAACCACAAAAAAGAGAAATCCCTGTCTTCAAAGACCTACCACATTGGAAGCAACAAACATTTCACCTCCTGCGCTCTTTTCATCCTTAAAGCTTAATTTGATCCTGAGAGAACTTCACTGAGACAAAACATCGCCTTAGATTTATTATTATCTACCAGATATTGTTTATATTAAATGAAACCTGACTTTACGTCTTTATCTGGACTGAAAGCGATTGCGTGCCAGCGCGCTCTAGTGCCGCTCATAACACCTACCTTTCTGATTCGTTTTTAGACAAATTGTCTAATCTGCTATTATAAGACTCGTACGATCTTAAAACTTTTTCAGAGACATGACCATACCGTGCACATTCACCTTGTGGCGGTGAATTAAGCGACTTTTAATACAGGAAACGTAGTTAATGACGACTGAGCGCAAAGCGCCAATTGAAGTCTGGTTGAGTGTGTGTGTGTGTAACCCGCAGCACTTCCCAAACTCATCAGACTGCTGCGCTGAGCGCACGGAGAGGGACTGACGGCGCTCCTCACACGCAACCAGAGGACATACGTTCGTTTTTCGGCTAATTCCGACTGTTGTGATGCGCATTCCCGTAGATCCCAGCGTCGGCCGGAGGTTCAGTCCGCCGGTGTCGGTGAAGATGAATGATGTGAACACGAGCGCAGGACAGCAGCAGCAGCAGCATCAGGACAGCGCGGTGGTGCCGAGACTCCGCGCGCAAGAGAACCGCTCCATGGCCGAGATCATCGCCGACCACCCCGCTGAACTGGTCCGGACCGACAGTCCAAACTTTCTCTGCTCGGTCTTGCCTTCTCATTGGAGGTGTAATAAAACCCTACCGGTTGCGTTTAAGGTAAGAACTTGTTTTTAAATATGCATCTCGGAAAATGCGTTAGTCTTTATGGCTATTAGTGACTTGTTATAAATGTGTAACATGGACGCTGGATGTAATGTAAATTATTTGGACGATTGTGTTGTGCATGACTTTGTCAAGTGAAAATTGAAGCTTGTGCATGTTAAATTTTGTATGCAATTTTAACTTTCTGACTGCACTGTGAAAGAAAATACCGTAATATGATGTCTTAATTTAATAAAACATATTTAAACAGCATTATTAATAGGCATTATACATAACATACCAGAATATTTTGCAAAGTGCCTTTTAGCTAGATTGAAATTACTGGTATGTTTTAATTGTATATATTTAAAATAATTTTTTCTTTGCTGTCCCCATCATCTTAACTTTATACAAAAACTTCTTTATATGGTTGTATCAATTTCAGTCAGTTTTGCTGAATGTGTCTATTTCGTCAATTTGTCACAGATAGTTTCTGTGTCAGTAGTCTGAATTGTGCCTTTGTACTATTTATACTCTTGTAAGAGTGTGTGAACAGCATTTCCCCCCCTTAATAACAAAATAGACTTTACTGGAACAAAGCTTCATTTAATAAGAAATAATGACATGGCATTATTCACTGTTTGATGTGTAATTCTGGCCTGTGGCAGAATCATTGCTCTTGGCTCATGTCGTGTGTGTAGTCAGGCCTGTGCAGGTGTGGTTAGCTATTAGGTAATTGCCAGATTAGTAGCTAGATTAGAAATGATATAGAATTCCAAAATTATATGCAAATAAATATCGCTTCAGGGGCAATATGCTGACTCGTGTACTCGCAACTAATAAATGCAGTCTGTTAATTGTTAAATAATGATAACGATAGATTGCCACACGAGCACAGCATAGACAGGCAACAAATTATTTCAGAAATCATATTTATTATTTTATGCCAGCTGCTTTTTAGACATGCATGCATTAAAAGCCAAATGCATTAAAAGTTAAAGGAATAGTTCACACAAAAATGAAAATTCTGTCACTCACCCTCAAGTTGTTCCAAACCTGTACGAGTTGAACACACAAGAAGATATTTCAAAGAATGTTGGTAGCCAAACAGTTGATGGCACCCACTGACTTCCAAAGTAGGAAGAAAATACTATTGAAGTCAATGGGGACCAAAAACTGTATGGTTACCAGCATTCTTTAAAATAGCTTATTTTCTGTTGTGTTAAAATAACCTTAGTTATGAACTATCCCTTTAAAACTTGAATTCATAAACATCTTATTTCTTTTCTTTTCATGTTAAATCTGCATAAATACGCACATATGTTTGCATGAAATTAAATAATAATCAGAAGTCGAGCTGTCTGTAGAAACTCCTGGACCGAACATCTGCGCACATGCACTGTTTGAACCGTTGCATCATGGGTCTGTCCGCAGGTGGTGGCCCTGGGAGAGGTGGCTGATGGGACGGTGGTCACAGTGATGGCTGGGAATGATGAGAATTATTCAGCTGAGCTCAGGAATGCCTCAGGAGTTATGAAAAACCAGGTGGCCCGCTTTAACGACCTCCGCTTTGTGGGCCGAAGCGGAAGAGGTCAGTCCACTTTTTGAGAAAAGTTTAGATGGTTTTCGGATTGTTGAAATGATTTAAATCCCTTATCATGCAGGTTTACATTAGGAATGTATTTATATCAAGGGTGGTTTGAAAATCAGAAATGAGCTTAACTGTCACTCAAAAATTTGGCCACACCTTTTTTTTTTTTGTGATCACCGCTTTCATGTTTGAGTATTATGGAGTCCTTGAATGGGGACATGGTGATGGAAAAAAGTAAAAGATGGAAAATTAATAAGACTCTTACAAAATGTTTGTGTCCCCCAAGAAACTTGTCTCTTGTTCTTTGCGAGTGAACACAAACATTTGGCGAGCAAACGCATAGTTTCTCAAGGGAACACAAAACATTTGCAAGGGAACGCGAAAGCATTGCTAAATCATTTTTCCTCCCATCTCTTATTTATATATATATATATATATATATATATATATATATACTGTATATATTAGGGCTGTGCAAAAATTAATTGCGATTAATCGCATCCAAAATAAAAGTCTGTGTTTACATAATATATTTGTGTGTGCTGTATATAATATTTTGTATATATAAATACCTATGCATGCATTTATATTTAAGAATTATTTGTGCTTAAATTCTATATATATATATATATATATATATATAAAAATACATAATCTATATTATATAAATATAAATATTTTTATATATCAATAACACATTTTCTTAAATATATACATGCATGTGTGTGTATTTATATATGCAAAATAATTATATACAGCACTCACAAATATATTATGTAAACACAGACTTTTATTTTGGATGCGATTAATTGCAATTAATTTTTGCACATCCCTTATTTATATATATATATATATATGTGTGTGTGTATATATTTTTTTCCACCATGTCCCTTTTGGGGGTCTGTAGAATATCGGTTGCTATTAAATCATGAAATAACCAATGCTAGAATCATGTATGGTAAGCAAATCATCCTTTTAAACCGTATTAAAGGTATTCACATGGATCCTTCACTGTTTGGCCCAACTCATTCAATTTTGTAATTCATTTTAAAAAATTCAAATGCAGTCAAAGCACTCCCCTAGCTAGCTAAGACTTATATCAGTAAAATAATGCACTCTAAAAATACTTTAATGAGTCTCAAATTTACAATTACAGTACACAATTGATATGTAGGACCAATTTATATTTAGCTACAGAAGTATTATACTGTAACTTTTACATCATAAGGTTTTGAACATCACGAGAAACGTAATTTCAAGCTTGTCCAAACAATGCACTTTCTACAAGTTTGCTCCTGTTTACACAGGCTTACCAAATGATATTCCAGATTATATTATCACGCCATGCGTTTTTCTATTAAGCTTGATCATTTTGTGTTTATCTACACTTGCACAATGTCATGTGGAGAAATCCTCCAGGGAGATTTGGTAACAGAGACACGCGGTCAAACAGGGACACATGACATTCTTAGAATAATTATAGTCAGTCTGCGTACTGAGCTATCAGTTACGAGCCAACACCGTTGTGAAACCACATCACCACATTGGCGGTAAGAATGCACTCATTAAATTACAGGTCTGTGAATTAAGGTTTCTCATACCATCGACGGCAACTTACTGTAGGTGCCTGCGTCGTGGCCTTTTGAGTGTTTCTTAAAGGGATAGTTCACCCACAAATGAAAATTCTCTCAGTATTTACTCACCCTCATGTTGTTCCAACCCCATAAGACTTTCGTTCATCTTTGGAACATGAATTAAGATATTTTTGATTAAATCTGAGAGCTGGATTACTCCTCCATACTAGTCCATAGGCTTCTTGAGGGATTGAAACTTGCCAGCCTCGAAAAGTTATTAAAGACATCGTTAAAATAGTCCGAGAGACTACAGTGGCTCAATCTTAACTTTATCAAGCGACGAGAATAATTTTTATGCGCAAAAACAAACATAAATAACGACTTCATTTCAACTATTCACTTCCTTCTCTTTGCACCTTTAGTCAGTTAAACTAGTGTGATTGCGTATGATCTGTTGTTGTACGTCACACGCATCGCACACATGACCAGCGTCGGCCAATAGTGAGCCTACGTGTGACGTAGCCCTACGCTATCACACTATGTTAACTGACTAGAGGCTCATGGAGAAAGAAGTGAATAGTTGAAATATCGTCGTTATTTATGTTTGTTTTTTCGCACAAAGTATTCTCGTCGCTTGATAAACTTAAAATTGAGCCACTGTAGTCACTTGGACTATTTTAACGATGTCTTTTTTTGAACAAACTTTTCGAAGTTTGAACTTTTTTGAACGAACTTTTCAAGGCTGGCAAGTTTCAATCCCCAAGAAGCCTATGGACTAGTATGGAGGAGTGATCCAGCTCTCAGATTTCATCAAAAATATATTAATTCATGTTCCGAAGATGAACGAAGGCCTTATGGGGTTGGAACAACATGAGGGTGAGTAAATACTGACAGAATTTTCATTTTTGGGTGAACTATCCCTTTAAGGGTAAAGCGTTAAATTCTGTGCTTTTAGAATCACTGCGTGAAATTGTAAAAATAATGATTCTTAAAAAAGCCTATCATTTTCTTCATTGGGAAATAACGATAATTTAGTTTCAGTAGTTTTTTTAATCATAATGAAGCCATGATGCTGTACAGAAAATTCCACCAATCAGAGTCGCCACAAGCAAAAATCGCCAAAACAGCTCTTTAGCTCCGCCCACTCCTATGAAGCACTGCAATGACGTCATTTAATCTCGAGTCTGCATACTGCATATTCATAAATGCAAACTGTGCATTAAACAAATATATTGTTTTCATATGTATAATCAACATTTTTAAATGAGTAGTTTCATATTTTTCTATCATTTTTAATTCATGCTGTTCACCGTTTTTTCATTTATGAAAGCCGTTAAGTTTAACGATCTTTTCAAATATAGTTTTGCTTCAAAATCGTAGTTCGCAATATTATCATTCACCTCATGTTTGTTGGCTTAAAACGCTTTAACCAAGAGAAATAAATAATAATAAAAAATATGACACTGAAAAAGATAGCCACGCCCCCAAACGTACACCATTGCTTAGACAAATTGAAGTTCTATATTTAGACAGACTAAACTGCAAATAACTTGTCTCTGCGTGGGGGAAAGTGAAGAATTAAACATGCACTAAATATAGTTTAAAAAAAAAAATTGTACACTCCATTAAAAGATTAAATAGAAATATTTGGATTCCTTGATTCCCAGATTTTTGACACGTTATTTTATTTTTGATTTATTCGATTCCAGGGCACGATGACATATTATAATACCGCCATGTTCTAATTATTTTTTACATTTTGAGAGCCATTTGGTCGTATTTAATTCTATTTTATGATCACAAGCCTTATGAATTCACTGTCAGCAGATCTGTGCTGCTGTGTGGTGCTGAGATTCCACGCGTCTTGCCAGCTGTTTCCCATCGTTGCCAAAGTATTCCACCCACTACTTCCTGTCTCCCCAGCAAACCAGGGGCATTCATGAGTAGGAACCATTGGAGCGTCATGTTAATCCCTTGTTCCCCTGTATTAAACCACCAGAGAGCACAAATTGTCTGGAAACAGTGTTTAGGGAAGTGAGCTGTCTAGATTGCCGATGCCGCAGTTTAGCGTCGCACGATTTCCCAGCAGCCCACTGTCCTGTTCATGTTCAGAGAGCTAGACAAAGTCATTCAAATCTTGATAAAGTCAAGGAGCTCAGTCTTACTTTGACACTGAGTTACAGCCATTCAATGTTTCTGTGTTTGCACAGGGAAGAGCTTCACCCTGACGATTACAGTATTCACAAACCCACCGCAAGTGGCCACTTACCACAGAGCCATTAAGGTCACGGTGGACGGACCGCGGGAGCCCAGGAGTGAGTACACCTTATATTACATACGGCTGTGACTAACCACATCCACGAGGCCTGTCATCACGTCCACCTCTCTGTCGGGCCGCAATCGCACCTCACCAAAGGCTTGCGGTCACTCGTGCATGTGCTAGTGATTGATTTATTTATTTTCTGATTTCAGCCTCAATCGGGTTTGTCGTGAAATCATTGCCGAAGAAATTCTCTCTGGGTAGACAGATTGATGGCTTTAATTTAGCTTTGAACAGACTGGAGACTTGGTTTCAGGATTGCTTTTACTATTGGGAAATACATATATAGTGTATATATATATATATATCCAATGAAGTCAGCATTAGTCATGGAAGGGATTGTGGTACTTTTTCATATTTTCTGTTTAACATACAAATATAGTTGTACTTATGTTTAAATAAGTACCACAAACCCTTCCATGACTAATGCTGAATTCATTGGATATATATACTTTAATTTCTGAGAGAAATGGGATATTCAGTGGAATAATTGAATGCTTTTGCTAAGTTGTGAAACAGAGGAAAAAGATCACGTAGCGTGTGCACTCCAATTCCTGAACGAATCACTAGATTTGGTTCTTTTCAATGAATCAGTTCAGGCAATTGGTGAATCATTTTTGATCAAACACCGGAGTCATTGGATTGAATCAGTCAGACAACTCACTAACTTTCTAAACTGCAGATTATTGTGGCATGGTTCCACGTTACTTAGTATTAATAACAGTAAATTATGCATAATTACAAGCAACTAACCCAAAACCAAACTCTAACCGTAACTCTATAGTAAGTGCATGTAGTTAATTAATATTACTCAGTACTATTTGAGTTAGTACAGTGTACCGTAAATATCCCCTTAAAATCGAGTGTCACCCTGTGTCTTTTAGAGAGGTTAGTGAAACTGAGATGAGTCCATTCTGACTAGTTGTTTATATGTTAAGGGCTGTCAAACGATTAATCGCGATTAATCGCATCCAAAATAAAAGTTTGTGTTTACATAATATATGCGGGTGCACTGTGTATAATTATTTTATATATATAAATACACACACATGCTTGTATATATTTAAGAAATATTTTCATGTATATAATGTATATAGATTTATACATCATTTATATTATATATAAATATAAATATTTTATATATAAATAACTTTTTTTCTTAAATATACATGCATGTGTGTGTATTTATATATATATAATATATATAATATATGTAATATATATATACAAAATAAACACAAACTTTTATTTTGGATGTGATTAATCACGATTAATCGTTTGACAGCCCTAATAAAGATTATATTATATTATATTTTATTATATTTTATTTTATTTTATATATTATATTATATTATATTATATTATATTATAAAATAATATTTATTATGATGAATGATAATAAATATTAATAAATATTTAATAAATATTTTCTATGATTAATACATATTTTAATAAGTTTTATTTTTTTTTATGTTTTATTTTTATTATATAATTCTTTTTTCTCTCTCCAAGATAAAACTCCTGTGGGAAACACTGCAACGAATTGTGCACCAACAAAATAAACAGTTCATTTTGACTCTAGAGAATTGAGACTTTTGCGAGTTGTTTCTGGTAGCCGGCTGGTCTGTCGGCGTTATCTTAATCAGCTGTCGGTCTCGGCATTAGGTTAGTGTCTGCACAGAGGTTCTCCCGCGGTAACATTGTGCTTGCATCAGCTTGTTTTAATGGCACTTATAAAACAGCGAACAAAAAAAAATCTTCTACATCTGTCCGTGCCAACTGGTCTGGCAAGCAGCTGTTTTACTTTATTATGAAAAATATATACTTTCGTCTTGGCTTAGAAATCAAGCCTATCACATCCCTAACAACATTTCTGCCTCTCTTTTTCTCTCTGACTTTCAGACTATTCTCAATGAACACATATGGCACTGGTATTTAGAGGCTGTATATGGTCTTGATTCTTCATTGTATTACAATGGCCTCTAGCAACTACAGGCCTCGTCTTTGATGTTGAAGACTTCCTCTATTTCTGCCTTATCTATAAGTGAACTTTCTTGCAGGCTTGCAGGCCGTGTTATTGTGCATAGGAACAGATGAAAGGCTCTTTTACGGGTGGCTTTTTGTGTAGCGCTGCTGATCTGATATTAGAAAGCTCCTGTCTCGGCTTACAATATGCTGTCAGATTGCGATTAAGAATACCACGTCTCTGATAGACCGAAAGATTTCACATTCCTCAATTTTAGCGCATATGTTTCACAGTAGTATACTGCTTATTATTATGTGTTGAAGAAGTATGTGAATCAGTATGCAGTGTTAAAAGGATAGTTCCCCCAAAAATGGAAATTCTGCCCTTCGTTAATATTTTTTATTTTCTTGGCATGTTAAAAATTGTGGTTTGACCTTGATGTCACCAGTTCATTCATCACACTAAAATGGAAATTAAAGTGTAATGCATTGTGGAATTCAGTAATAAATGCAGTGTGTCATTGTTATATACTGATATAGCATACTAACATACTATTGCTTTTGCTGCAGTATATAGTACGTATATTGTGCATAATATGCAGATTTTCTGTATGCATAAATACATTTATCAGAACAGTCAATACTGTGTGCAATATTGTGTCCCAACTTGACCTTTCCTTTCCAGCCACAATTGTTAAAATAACTTTATTATTATTATTATTATTATCAATGTTGAAAACAGTTGTGCTGCTTAATATTTTTGTGGAAACCGTCATACATTCCAGTCAGGATTCTATGAAATAGATAGTTCAAAAGAATATATATATAAATATATACATTTTCAGGTAATAATAAAGTCTTTACTGTCACTTTTGATCAATTTAATGTGTACTTGATGAAAAAAAGTATTCTGTTTTTTAAACAGAAAAGTATTTGTCCTTTAATTTATGTCATGCCAGTTTTATTTAACTTATATAGTTATGCATTTTAACTCTTATTGAATGTTTAATTGACAGCAACTGGTAACTGGACACAACTTGCCTGGTGAACATCAGGTCATGTGACTAACACAGAGAGCTACATGTAACTTTTGCACTTTTTTTCCCCAAAATTGGGTAATATGGCATATTTTTCTGAAGTGTGGCAGGTAGTACAAGGCACGTCCGAATCCAATGATTGTGAAAGAATCTTCCATCTGATGTGTTTTTGAAGGCAGCATAGCTCTATCCTTCACTGCCTTTGATATCCCACAATCCTGTGCGTCCCATTCCATGGCAGCTTAGCTAAAAAATAAATATGGTCGCCTGAAAATTGCGGTTGGTGGTCAGTTTGTGTGTGAATGTACAATTTTTACCTCCTTTTCACACTTTTAATGTCAATTATAGTGATAAATTACAATAGTTTTGTGAGGTGCCTTCAAGCGCAAACACTACGGCTGTGTTCGAAATCGTCCCCTATACCCTCATTCACTATTCCCTACATTACTCCACTAATATAGTCCACTTGAAGAAGTGAATGAAAACGAGTGAGTGAATTCAGACACTGACTGCATTGCATAATTTGTGCCTACAGTTTAATAATCATTTGAAACTTAGCAAAATACCAGCTCCAGTAGTAATGAAAAGATGGAATGGAAACTAGCATGCATAAACCTTAATTAAACAATCTTAAAGGATTAGTTCACTTTTGAAAAAACTTTTGCTGATAATTTACTCACCCCATGTCATCCAAGATGTCCATGTCTTTCTTTCCTCAGTCGAAAAGAAATTTAGGTTTTTGATGAAAACATTCCAGGATGTTTCTCCATATAATGGACTTCAATGGGAACCAAACGGTTCAAGGTCCAAAAGACAGTTAATAACTGTTTCAGATGCAGCTTCAAATGTCTTTAAACGATATCAGACGATGAATAAGGGTCTTATCATGCGAAACGATCGGTTATTTCAAAACTTATTCCAAAAATGTAACTTTTCTAAGGACAAATGCTAGCCTTGCTATATTCTGTGAGGCGCGTTTGCAACGTCACGTATTACGTAATTACGTTCAAAAGGTCACGGGCGACGTAGCCGAAAGTACAGAGTCAGTGTTTACAAGTTGAACGCATAGGTTGAACGTGCAAACTAGCTCAAACACCGTTTACAAAAAAAGGAATTAAAAGGAAAAACAACGATGTCGGACGATTTTGATTCTGTACTTCCGGCTAAGTCGCCCGTGACCTTTTGAACGTAATTACGTAATACGTGACGTTACAAACGCGCCTCAGAGAATATAGCAAGGCTAGCATTTGTCCTTAGAAAAGTTACATTTTTGGAATAAGTTTTGAAATAACCGATCGTTTCGCATGTTATTAACACTATCTTTTGGACCTTGAACCATCCGGTTCCCATTGAAGTCCATTATATGGAGAAAAATCCTGGAATGTTTTCATCAAAAACCTAAATTTCTTTTCGACTGAGGAAAGAAAGACATGGACATCTTGGATGACATGGGGGTGAGTAAATTATCAGCAAAAGTTTTTTCAAAAGTGAACTAATCCTTTAAGTTATAATCAAATAAAAAGGAATTTATACTTGTATGATATTACACTATAGCCACATTGGACCAACGGTTTGGAAAATGGATGGAGGGATGATTCAGCTGCGGGCACCATCTTTTGGTGAGACGTTGGAATTCATTCGACACGTACCTGTATATTCACACGGTATTCTCTAGCTGTTGAGATTTGTTGTATACTTGTTATTGCGGTGCATTGTGGGATGGCATGAGTGCACTTGATAACGTCCACCAAGTTTTTGGACACCGCTACAAATGGCTGTCCCCTCAAATAGTGCCCTATTTAGGGTTAGGGTGTGATTGCGGACACAGCCTACATGTCAAGTCATTGCCTGATAAGGCAACGAGGCACTTTCGGATGAGCTTTCAGACGCAGCCATTAAATACCAAAGTATCAAAGTCTTGAAACATCTACTGTACAAGAACTTTGGTGTTTGGGAATATCCTGAACACTTAGTGCTATAAAAAGAGAGAGCA